TTCTTCTAGAATTCTCATGGTTTCATGCCTTACATTTAAGTCTGTTATCCATCTTGAATTAATTTTTGTGAGTGGTGAGAGATATGGATGTTCAGTCTTGTGCATGTGGTTATCCAATTTTCCCAGCACCATTTATTGAATAGGGCTTCTTTTCCCCACTGTATATTATTGTCTGTTTTGTCAAAGATCAGTTGGCTGTAGGTGGATGGTTTTATATCTGGGTTCTCTGTTCTGTTCCATTGGTCTATGTCTCTGTTCTTGTGCCAGTACCCCATGCTATTTTGGTTACTATAGCCTTGTAGTATAATTTGAAGTCTGGTAATGTGATGCCTTGAGATTTGTTCTTTTTGCTTAAGATTGCTTTGGCTATTCAGGCTCTTTTCTGGTTCCAAATGAAGGGTATTTTTCTAAATCTATGAAATATGATGTTGGTATTTTGATGGGGATTGCATTGAATCTGTAAATCACTTTGGGTATTATGAACATTTTAACAATGTTGAGTATACCATTCCATGAGCATAATGTGTTTTTCCATTTGTTTGTGTCATGTGCGATTTTTTGACTCAGTGTTTTCGTAGTTCTCTTTCTAGTGTCTTTCACCTCTTTGGTTAAGTATATTCTTAGGCATTTGATTTTCTTTATAGCTCTTGTGAATGATATTGAGTCTTTGATTTGACTCTCAGCTTGACTATTATTGGTGTATAAGAATGCTACTTATTTGTGTACATTGATTTTGTAACCTGAGACTTTGCTGAACTTATTTATCAATTCCAGGAGTCTCTTGGTGTAGTCTTTGGGGTTTTCTAGATATAAGATCATATTGTCAGCAAAAAGTGATAGTTTAACCTCCTCTTTCCTGATTTGGATACCCTTAATTTCTTTCTCTTGCGTGATTGTTCTCATGCTTCTTATCTTGGAATGAATGTTCCCATGTTCCTACCACCTCTAACTTTTTTTCATATAAAAAGTATTGTACAATATACTACAAATAGTGCAAATGAAGAACAGAAAGTTTAATTTGGAATAGCATTATGCCTGATGCTATACTAAAATCTTATTTATTCTGAAGATATTTGCCCAATATAGTTAGCTATCTCTAGTTCTACCACAAAGCAAAAATGCTTCCTAGAAGCATTTATTCACAGAGGAGACTCTCACTCAGATCTCATTTATTCCTAATTCATATAGTTCTGATAGGCAATCGTGTTTCCTGGCCTGTGACAATTGATTAGAGACAACAAACTAGAAAAAAGTAGCCTGTTACAGACAGAAAGGCTGACAGTTGCAAGAAGTGAGAGCTTTTAGTGTAAAGCTGTTAGTGGTAAAGGAAAAGCAAACCTATAAAAGCAGACAGAATTTTAAGAGTTGTTTTGGAATTCTTGTGTTTAGTTCAGTATACCAGAAGAATATTCAAGAACATCAGCATGTTAAATCTCACAGTATGGTAATTGATTATAATAGTAACCACGAGTATTATTTTTAAAAGCAAATTATGCTAGGTATACTCTAATAAGACAGGGATTTTCATTTATAAAAGGAAGGCAAATTATGCCAGATAAATAAATGAAGCATTATCATACCCAAAATATTAGATATAATATTTTCTTATCCTTTGACTTTTGCAAAGGGCCTCTTTATCAGAGGTTTCATTATTGTTGAAGTTCACAGTTTGGCCTATTATTGCTGTATATTTTCAAAAACAAAAATGATTGTTGATGACTCAGAGGTATACGTATGTGACTGTGCAGAAGAAAACCCCTCCGTCTCTATTGCTGTAGGACTTCTTTGCAATTAGCTTGCAGAACTTGATTCTCCTCCTCAAACTGTTCTGATTGCTCTGTACATCCTATAAATAATTTACACCCTGATGGTACTAAACGACTGCATTAATGGCACCTCTGGCTCCACATGATAACAAGAACTTTAATAATTCATCATGTATTACAGCTATATCCCTACAGATTAGCGTAAGTGGGAGCTGAGTTTACAACATTGAGATAAGGCCTTCTGCAAGACCTTTACTCTTCAAGCATCATATCCATAAATACTCAGATATTAGTGGTGTTAGAAAATAAAGGAAAGGTTATTGACTGCTACAAAGCTAGACTTTGTTATTATGTTTATTAAGCATTAGATTACTTTAAGTTCTTAACTATATTTTAGGGATATTTCAAGGGGAAAAACTTTGTAAGATAGTTCTCCATTTCAGGACTGTTTAAAAAAATTACTTTATGCAAACTAAATGGAATTAATGATTGGACATTGGGAAGAGTAGTGAGAGACTTCAATTATAAAAGTTATCTAAATCCTTGATCTAAGAGTTTTACATCTGGTATTTGAAGTCTTCAAATTTTAGTCCTCTTTAGCCTTTGGGGGATACTTTAAAAAAAGAAATGGGAAAGGCATACTTACGGGGAGCAAGAGTGTGTCTGTGCATACATGTAATGCATGTCATGTGATTAAGTTCCAGAGTGAAATTTAAGTATAAAAGTAAGTTAATTTACTCATTACCAGTGAAGGGGAGTAGTCAAGTTAATATTGAATTTGTTTGGAGTTTTGGATTGTCGAATTTGTTTGGAGTTTTGGAATGACTGCATCTCTGAGGACTGTGTTGCTTTTAGAAAAAGAAAAAGATTACTGAAATTGGCAGAGTTTGTGACCCTAGCATTTGGTACAGTGTCTGGCACATGGTCCAATAAATGTTTATTGTATGAATGGTGATCAGATCAGTTTGTATAATTCTAGTTAGACACTGATTATTTTGATAACTTAAACAGTTATATTGATATATATTCATTGATTTCTGGTAGTACTACTTTGGGAATGTATTTCAGTTCACCTTTAGTGTTTTTAAATCTCATTCAATGTGGATTTATTTCAGAAGGGTCTGGAGAGCCTCATTATATGGGGTTCTGACCTATGAGGCTGTTTCAAAACATGTATCTTGTCGACAACATTATCCTGTACAGAGGCTTCAAAGTATTTCAGGTATCCTTTGAAAGGCTATAGGTTCTTTAAAGATACAGCGAAAATTGCTCTTGCTCCAGAGAAAGTAGACAGTTTTCACTAATACTGAATACCGTGTTGTTTATAGCATGTATAAATTGTGTTTAATCTTACTGCTTTAGATTTCTTTAATAATGGTTTCTTTAAAAATGATTATCTGTTCAAGATACTTGGTCAGTGATTATCTGTGTCAGTGATGATTGACATTCATGGGAGAACTGTAGGGGATGAATACAATCAAGAGTTATGCTGCTGGGGAGATTTAGGGTTGGGGAGGGCATTATGAGCACTGTTATGAAAAGGAAAGCCCTTAATCTGCAAGGGAGGAAATGCTAAATTTTAGCAGCCATGAGACATAGAATTAGATCGCATTGTGCTAGCCTGCTACATAGATGTTATTAGCTCTTCATTTGCCAGACCAGCCAGCTTGGAGCAGAATATGGAATATCTAACTTAAATTAGAATAGTTAAATTTCTGCTTGAGTTGAAATACTAGAAAACAACAACAAAAAAACATCTTTTCACTTGTATGAAGTTCTGTGTTTGTTGTTTAGTAGCAAGTGTGAGTTGGATGAAGAGTCTGAATAGAAGATTTTCATGGGGAGCAAATTCATAATTTTTATCTCTTACATTTCCCAGCATACCCCTCCATTCATGAGTGTCCTTAAGCTGATACCTCGTGCCAGACATCTTAGAATAAAGGTTGTAGAATTGTTGTGGAAAAGCAATAGTTTAACATGTAGCTTTAGTTACGTCACGGTGTAAATTAAGCTCTTAAAAGAAAGTGGCTAGGTTTTACAGATGGGCAGGCACAGTCTAGCTGAGAACAAATTGGTCTGCTATGATAGAGACATCATTCAAACCTGCATGCATCTGTCAAATGCCTGTGGTGGCACAGTGAGATAGATGGATCCCTAATGTTTCTCTGGTATGTCTCTATTGCTAGGCATATTGTAACATGTAGTACATCTCGTGGGCAGACAGCTTGTGTGGCCTGGATTCTACCTCAGCTTTGTAAAGATGCCAGAGGCATCAAGGAGAATTTTTTTAAAGCCTATTTAAATATTTAGACTCATGACTAATTTCAGTAGAAATCTCTACTATATCTAATAAATTACTTGCTAGAAGTGAGATGGAATTATGTCTTCTCTACTTATTATTAATAGTCATGTGACCTTGGATTGACAAATTAGTAACCTCTGTGCCTATTTCCAGATTAGGAAAGTGAGTATTGTAAAAGTATTTGTCTCATACGGTTGTTTATGGATTTAGCCAGTTAATATAGAAGAATGCCTGGCACTTAATAAATGTTAGCCACTGCTACCATCATCATCATCATTAACTTAATTTGGGGTGAGATTAATTTTCTTCTCCCAAAGCTAGATTGCTTTTTTTAAGGAAGACCACATCCCTATTAAGGATGTGGTCAACTCCAAATTTAATATAGATGCTCACCATCTTGACTTGTGAAATCTATCATCAAATTTATTTACAGTTAAATTATATAATTACTATAAGGGATGAAGAAACTCTTTAAATACTGCTATAGAATGATCCAAAATATATTAAGTGAAAAAAGCAAGGAGCAAAATAATGTATAAATTATTCTACCATTCATGTAAATATTTGCTGGTACATGCGTAAAATATCTGTGAGGCTGTGCAAGAAATGACATAGTTTTATTTGTTATTGGGAAGGGGAATTGGGTGGCTGGAGACAAGGTTGGGAGACTTTTTTACTGTATACCCTTTTACACTTTTTGATATTGAACCGTGTGGATGTATTCCCTGATAAGTTAAAAAGAGAAAATACAAAAATTAGAAAGTAAAATAGCTATTTTGAAATCTAGATAAATTTTTATTCATACTTTGTAAACATTTCTTTTTGTCTCTACTACTCAAATTCACATTTAATAGGATTTTTAATACTCCTGTTTCAGTTTCTTTTTTTCTTTGTCTACTTTCCAACACTAATGATATTTTGTTCTCCTTCAGGGATTTGAGTCATAACCGGTTGTCTAACTGGAACATCAGCTTGGAATCACAAACATTACAGGAAGTGTAAGTTATTTTTATTTATTTAAAGTTATGTTCTTGAGGTGACTTAATAAATTGTGAATTTAGGGATGTTCAATCCAGAGACGCTATCAAAAAGTTGAAGGGAAAAATTTTTTAATTAAAAGAAATTATTTAAAAACCTAAACTTGTTGTTGACTTTGTTGTTATCACAAACTCTTTAAGTATTGGGTTGGTGATTTCAAGTTGTAAACTGTAGAAAAATATTATTTTACTTTCCTGGGGTGAAAAGTAAGATTTCTCCCCTCTTTGGAGTAAATATGTTTTGCTTTTTGCCAAGTTTTAGCCAGGGAAACTCTGTGTTGTGTAAACTTTTTAAATAATCTCGACATGTTATCTAAGACGGAAGCATCATGTCTAAAGTAGCTTCATATGAAATATTTTTGGTATCATTTGAGAATGTGGCAGTTGTTATAATTCAATTTTCCTCTTAAGTTTTTTTCTTTAATACTGAAACATTATGTAATTTTGGAGGGAATTTTCTAAAATATTATTAATATCAGTTTTTGCATTGTGTTGGGGTAATGACTACTGAGGTATATAGGCTTATTTGCCTATACACTTAACACCCTCAGAACCCTCAGATTTATTTTCCTTTTTAATTATTTGCTGACAGGAGTAACTTCTTCATGCTCTCATTATCCCTGTATTCTCTCCTCCCTGGTCCCAAATTTACTGCTTCTAATCTGTGGTGGACTGAAGAAACAGTTGACAAGTTTGTTAGCTGAAAGAGTAGGCATCGAGACAGGGCCTGAAAATGCTTCAGTGGGAAGTGTACAAGCTTTATTTGGAACTTTGGTTGGCTTCCTAGAGGCCTTTACTTCTGATTTCTTTTCTGTATTCTAGATTCTTGAGGTTGTTTAATGACTGAAAACCAGGTTAATGAAATGTGATTGTATTAGATTTGCTACTAAAAACCATTTGAGGCCAGGCGCAGGGGCTCACACCTGTAATCCTAGCACTCTCGGAGGCCGAGGTGGGAGGATTGCTTGAGCCCAGGAGTTTGAGGTTGCAGTGAGCTCTGATGACACCACTGCACTCTATCCAGGGCAAGAGAGTGAGGCTCTGTCTCAAAAAAAACACAACCATTTGAGACTATCAGTTTAAAGGCTGCTAGAATCAGATGTGACATGTTGTGTCCTCTAGAAAATTAGTTATAGGTTCCATCTCTGGGTGGGCAGATTAATTTTATTTGTGGTCTCAAGCAACACTCCCTAATTTTGTATAGCTTTAGAAAAAAATGTATATACACATATGTGTGTGTGTGTGTGTATATATATTTAGAGAGAAACAGAGAGATCTGAATGAACTAGTTATTCCATCTTTAAGGACTCAAATTAGCTGTCATAACCCCAACTATTCAAAGAACCTTGCTTGAACTAAAATCATCTAATCTGCAAAATATTTCTTAGCTGTTCTAATATTGATGTCAATAATATATCTATACTATGAAGAAACATTTCTTATTGAAATCTCTGATTTCTCAATAAATACATTTTTAGTTTAGCCTAACTCATTCTGAGTCATAGGCTTTTTCAAATTTGGCACCTATTCAAAAGAATATGTATTAGCCAGAAACTAGAATTCAAGATGTAACATTTCCCTCACTAAACATTTAAATCTATTTTTCCTCTTGCCTAGGAAAATGAATTACAATGAACTAACAGAAATCCCATATTTTGGAGAACCGACATCTAATATTACTCTGCTTTCATTGTAAGTTAGTAAGATTTCAGATCTTTTACTTAAATTATGAATAGTATACAGTTATCTTTTTTTAAGCACATATATTGTTGCTCCTAATTATTTAAGGTCCTTGTGGGATGGATCATTGGCAATAGCTTCAATATAATCTTTGTTTTATAGAGTCCATAATATAATCCCAGAAATAAATGCAGAGGCATTCCAGTTTTACCGTGCTCTTGAGAGTTTAGACCTTAGCTCAAATATGATATCAGAAATCAAGACATCTTCATTTCCTCGAATGCAGCTTAAATACCTGTAAGTAAAATAGAGTTTAAATTAGATTTACTTTAAAGTGCATGTTTGCTACTCATTGGTACCTATCTTCCCAAAAATGCCTGTTATTCATTATGATTTTGATATGCATATGTGAAACAAACCTAGGGTCAGTTTTTCAGGTTGTTGGTTCTGTCCCTCTTTCCTGTCCCAGCCCCCAAAAGAAAGATTCCACTATTGTCAGAAAAGATTGATAGATGTCCAGGGGAATTTTTGAGATTTAATTGTTTTTTTTTTTTAACCAACAGTTTTGTAAAAGGTAAATAGTGGTTTGCTTAAACAGTGGCTTACCTTATGTAATGGTAATTATTAGGTCATTAAGTATGAAATGTCTGATTTCAAATCAGAAGTGTAGCTTATTATATCTCAAACAAGAAGCAGTACAATAAATCAAAATATGCACCTAAACTATTGACACAGTTTTGTCATCTTAACGATAGCTTGTTTATGCCAGCAGCAAAGAAGCCTGGAGAGCAAGTGGTGATGAAATCATGAAAGGTGTTTTCCACAGCTTGTTGCGAATTGAATGTTTTTCCTTGCAAGAAGTGGTCCAAAGCCTGGAAGAAGTGATAGTCAGTTGGTGGAAGGTCTGGTGCTTCTATAGTTTGAGCAGCATTGTTTGTGCGACATGTGGTTGAGCATTGTCTTGCAAGAAGATTGGCCTGTCTCTGTTGGCCAATCTCAGCAGCTTCATTGCAAACATCCTCATCATTTCGTCCAATTGGTTGCAGTAGACATCTGCTATAATCGACTGACCAGGTTTCATGAAGCTATAGTGGATAATACCAGCCCTGGACCACCAGACACCGTTAGCTTTTTGTGATGAATATTCGGTTTTGGACTATTTTGGCACTTAATCTTTATCCACCCATTGTGCAGAACACTTGGCTTGCAATTGTCAGAAAGAATCCATTTTTCATCACATGTAACAATATGGTGTAGAAATGGTTCGCCTTTATGTCGTGACAGCAAAGAAAGGCAAGCTTCAAGATGATTTCTCTGCTGACGCTTGTTTAATTCATGAGGAACCCATCTATCCAGCTTCTTTACCTTGTCAATTTGTTTCAAATGGTCCAATATCGTTGGAATGGTGACGTCATACCTTGCTGCCAGTGCATGAGTAGGTTGAGATTGATTCTTTTCCACTACAGCTTTTAGCTCATCATTGTCCACCTTGGTCTCAGGTCACCCACCTGGCTCATTTTCAAGATTAAAATCACCAGAACGGGACTTCTCAAACCATCGAGGTACTGTGCATTCATTAGCTAGATCCTTCCCCAACACTTCTTTGATATTTTGAGCTGTCTGTGCTGCATTGGGTCCACAACAGAACTCATATTCAAAAATAGCACAAATTTTTGACTTATCCATGGTTTCCCAAAAATTGCTCTAAAAATTTTTTTGAAAGACAATCACAAGCCAAGACATGTGTTTGAGAGACTAAGGATGTACCTTCACAATAAAAATAAAACCAGAAGTGTCAGTGAAATGTCAGCGATACCAACTGTCAAACTTAGTACTTAAGGAAATTGGACATTTCATACTTAATAACCTAATAGTGTATGTGCCAGTGTTTTCCAGTTTACAAAGCATATTCACACATACTGTTTTATAACAACTTAAATGAAGTAGGTATCATAATTTCGTAGATTAAGAAACAGAGCATTTAAATGATTTGTAAAGTTGTATATAGTCATTAAGTGATTAGAGCTGAGGGCTCAGACAGATTTTTGGCAGCTATCCATTTGTGGAATTTTCTGTTTTCCTAAATTTTTTT